AAAAAAAAAAAGAGGGAGTGAATTTGTGTAGAGTGGTAAGTAATAGATATGAAGTGTGAGTATTAGGTGGTGAAAAATGGTGTTGATGATTTTTTATTTGAGTTGAGGAATGTGATTATTGTAGTTAGTATAATTGTGAAAATTATGTTGTGTAGGGGTGGGGGGGGGGTGGGGAGGGCACAAATGAGTTGTTTGGAGGGGCGGCGGGTTGTGAAGGGGTTGGGGGCACGGGGTGCCACGACAGCACTAGAGGTAAGTAATAAAGATGAGAGGATGGGATCATCAGCGTGCACAACCAACCGCTGCAAATCATGCTCTCTCTCACCAGCAACGGGTGCGGGCGGGGCGGCCTTGGGCATCGCGGACGCCTTAGCCTTGGGCGCGGGCGCCGGGGCCGGGGCCGGCGCCTTCGTGGGCGAAGGCGCCACCTTAGCCTTCGCCGCCGCAGCCGCAGCCTTCTCGTCGGCGATGAGCTTCTTCTCGATGTCCTCGAGGGAGGCCACAAGGATCGCGCGGCGGGCGCTGGGGGCTGCCCTCGGCGCGACCGCCGCCGTCTGGCCGAGGAAGCTGGAGGGCTGGCTGTTCAAGGCCGGGCGGGTGCGGGCGGGGATGTAGAACGCCTGCGCCGAGGCGAGGAGGAAACCCAGGAGGACTACGGCGGACCTCATGGTCGTGTGTGTGTGTGTGTCGTAAAAAAGCCTGGGAAAAAGGGCACGTTGAGCACGGCAGCAGTTTAGTCGCGGTTGTAGGGATTTGGTATGTACACGGTAAATCATGCAGGAATGCATTCCGTGCTGTAAACCAGCAGGCTGAGAATCGATAGCTGTATCAGACTGTACTTTACTTTCAATACCGGCAGTAAAAAAATATGCACATGACACTGCTGTGTGTACTTAATTGACTACATTGGCAGATGCGAACAGAGGTACGATACCTCTCAGAAAAACATAAATCACTCAAGTACCCGCTCGAAAAAATGCCCTACTCGTCCCTCGTGCTTCTGGATCAACAGCTTACCGTACTGCCGTACTCAAAAACAGATGGGCCTGTACGGACGTTACAAGGTACAGCAGTACTGCTGCCTCTACTGCTGTACGTACTTCACGTGACTAGGTGAAGTGCAGACTGCACCACAACAGAAACATCGGCGGTGCTTTGGTGCTTTGGTACTGTTCATCCCTCTTTGGCCGGCGATGACAGACCAATGACTGAATCGCGGGACATCGACTTGATACACAACATCATTACAATACAGCAGTGTACAACGAGATTAAATATGTTCAATGGTGGTGCTACTTTGGGGTGGTGCTATTACTAGAAATACTGCCGTGTCTACAAATTAGGGCACCTGCGGTGTCCACGGAGGCACACCAGACTTCAAGGCTACGTAAATGCAAGTGCAATTAGGCCATGATAAATGTGTGAAGGATCAAAATGCCACAAGGGGACACATGTTTTTCTATGCACATGTTATGCGGACGAAACGCTACTCTGTTGCTCAACACTGCTTGAGGACGCTGACACATGTATTCCGACACTCAGCACACATACGTGTGCACTGCTGCACGAGCAGTCAAACAATTCTCCGTTTAGGCCAGGCACAGCAGCGATGTGCATCTTCGCAGCGACTCGAGACCAGCATTGTATGCACGACACAACCGCCAACCTCCCTGCTCGGCCACCCCAATATACGTGGTGTATGAATGCACCTAACACGAGCCGTGAGGTGGAATGAACTGCCAGTCTGCAGCGGGGTAGTTTCGGGGGGTGCTCTAAAAGGCAGTGAAATCCTCGCCGGCGAAATTTGGTTGTTGATGTGTATCTGTTTCGTCGTGTGATGTGTCCGAAAGCCAGAAATTTCCACCCAACCAATGACCACCCTCTCTAAGGATATAGCGCTTCATCGAACTCAACTCGCAGCAGCTCTCCGAGGCAACGCACACGCGCCCTTGGGAACTCATGCAAGGAGCTGCAAAGCAGGAGGGAGTGCTACCCGTTGGACGTGCCGCGGAATCGCGCTCGGGCGCAGCAGCAGAACCTCGAGAGCTTGGTGCTATTCCTGTCTCATCTACGTTCGAGCTTCTCGTCGTTGAATCCGCTCTCTAACTCCTCTGCACCGAAGATGGCCAACAAGCCACAAGGTGGACGAGCCAAGCAGCCACTGCAGACCCTACCACGCACTGCCATCTGCTGCTTGAACTCTGTCGACGATGCAGGCTGCGTGCATACGTGCCCCACAGCAGGTGGCCGAGACTTTCGTACACCACAGCATACACACCGAAACATGCGCAGCGCCAACGCTCCCGGCACAGCGTAGTTTTGGAGAAGAACCATCGACCCAATACATCTCACCGGTCTTAGCGAAGTAGGATGACTGGCAGCAGACGCTGACGTTCAACACACACGGATCAGGTAACAGGGCGTGACCCACAGCAACATGGCTCCACCACGCGGAGCAAACATACGCGCCATTTTGTCCTTTTTTTCCCTCTCCCTCCGACCGCTATAAAAAAAGCCAAAAAACGAAACGCTCATGATTATGTAGTTGCGTTTCGACTACATGCATAAGGTACTTCGCTCTTCGCTCCTCTTGTTCAACTACAAACTAAATACCGGCCGTCGACGCCTTTTGGACACGTGCAGACGGGGTCCGCTCTGGAAGTGTGGCATATATGGGGCTTGCGTAAGCCCAGTTGCTCGCAAGGAACGGACAGGGTGCCATGGCGACAGCACAGGATTGGCTCCGAGTACACCCACCACCTCCGCAGGTGCATGGCGAACTCGAAAGGGCGAAGAACTATCCCTTTTCAGCCCAAGCCGAGAGCAGCAGTACGTCGCCCGAAGCCATGTTTGCACAGCAGCAATCATCGTCGAGGCATTGTCCTCGACGCCGACGACGAAGGGGCGCCCCAGGCCTAATCGCTTGTTCGAGAAGCTCTGACGAGGTACTTCAGCGGTCCCCAAACGTGTCCCTCAGTCCGGTAACGGGGCCGGGTACCACCTTCAGCTCTGTGGCATCGGCGTTCGATTTCCAGCATCATGTCGGCAGCGATCCTGCAAGCGAGTTGCTCGTGCTCAAGCACATCCTGACGAGAGAGTGCCTCCTGTCTCGTCTGGAAGCCGTTTGCGGTAGCCTCCGAAAGCGGTTCCAGCTCCCCGCCGCGAAGACGACGTCAGACAACGGCACGACGGCTCGAATGACAGAGGACGGCGACGGCGTTGTGGCTTTGCTGTCCAGAATGCGGGACGCCACCGTCGCCGTGATCGAAGCCATTTCAGTGTGGAGGAAGGATATGACCGGGCATTTGCCAACGGCGTTCGTATGGCACGGAGACAACTACCTACTTAAGATCACGAACGACCTCAACTTTCTTGCTGGGGTGCAACCCTTGGTCGACACTCTAAAGGTATCACCGGTTAGACTACAGCAGTACAGTATTTGGACGCTTTTCACAGCCGGTGGGCTTGGTTCTGTGTTCCCGCATGACATGCACGTACTTTCCCCATTTTCATGAATCATGGATCTTCCAAATCACGCTATACCTATCCTTGGTATTGTACGTGCTGTTGGCGCTGTTCCCTCACAGTACTTACTTTACACCTGTGTGTGGTTCAAAATCCCCACGATTTCGCCGTTGCAGATGCATCCGGCACGGTTTTGTCGGAACCCGTTGATGCTGCCACAAACGCTTGACGAACAACGACGAGACGGAGAGCTTTGCGAGAGCGGAGTCGACACCACGTCCCCGGGGGCACGGAAGAGAAGACACTTGTACCAGGTGGCTCAGGTGAACGCACTGCCAACGCCACACCGTACCTAACCTTAAAAAACAGAAGATGAAGTTTTGTGGAGGGTTGCAGCTACATAGACGCTGCGTACATTCAATGCGCGTACGCGAAAGTATGCAAGCATAGGTCATCAAAAGGACTATGTATTTCTTCGCTGCTGACCGTAGATGTATTTTCCTCTTCGAACAAAAGATATCGTCACGGGGTTAAGTATACAGCGGGTTGTTGTTGTTGTTGTTGTTGTTGTCTTCACATTAAAAAACTCGTTCCGGTCTACACCCAGTACCTTCTTATGTCCGTTGGTACTGGTCCAACTGACGCGGACGCCTTCCGTGGTCACAAGCCAACTGCCCCCCGTCGGGGAGGGGGGGTACACCTTTCTAAAAAATAAAGAAAATAAAAAATGAACACCAGCGAATTCCTCCAAGGCGCGATTTGTTATCCAACCGAAAATAGATCAACAGTAAGGAAAACCATAATCGGGATAAAGAAACGATCGATGACCCCGGTCAAAGGGATGGAATAACGAAAGGTAAAGAAAGAAAGAAAAGAAAGAGGTAAAAAGAAAGAAAACAGAGAGAAAGAAAGACAACAAAGGAAATACCGGCAGATAGACAGGTCCCCTCCAACGCTCTGGTCTACCCGAACAACACGAAGTATAGGCCACTACTAACGCAACACCAGGCAGATGCATACCGACTTCCGACGACACAACATCACTCCGGGGGCACTGCGAGGGGTAGGGGGTACTTTTCTATCACCCCGAAACCGTGTGAGCCGCTGAAGCCCGTCTCATCCAGTAGTCTACCACTCCTTCACGCGAGACCCAATCAAGTATAGCAATCAAACAGAGACCGGATGAAGCGTTTGAAGAGTCATAAGCTCACGTTCTTTTGCGGCTTGAAGTCATCTGACGTGCATACACCGGGAACAAATAGTGTACATGCGTGTCTGTGTTCGATCTCTGCATTTAATAGGTTCTTTTGGACGAGGAGGGTCTTGAGAGGGAACGGGACTACCTCCGACAAGAATCAAGCAAGATCGCCGCGGCTACATCAGGCCGAGGTGAAACGTCACCAGGTCAGTCTTGATAGCGGAGGCAGGGTGCGTATGCCCACACGCCGTCTCTTTTAGACATATCGCTATGCTGTGCGTTGACAAAGATGTCGTGAGATCGGCAACCAACTTGTGCCTGCATGGCCATCTCTGGCTTTCCCCGTCCTTCCGTTCGTGGATATCGGTACATTCTGTCAGGAATCTCTGTAAAAACAACCAAGGTCTACGCCAACCGCCAATACCCATGTCATATCAAAACATATTCTCAGCTCAGCAAACATCTTGGTAACGAGCTATTTCTCTAGACATCACCATCCTGAGGTAAGTAGAACATTGGCACACCGCGGCCACTCTCGTGTGAAGCACAAACTCGACGGGTCTGCGAGAGACTCCATACCCTCAAACAAACATGAGTCATCGGGGTTTCGTTTCGCTTGCCCGTCAAAACACACACCGATCGGAAACAGAGCTCAGCGGGCGACACGGGTTTAACGCGGGTGGTGTAAGGTGTGCGGCGCGGCCGTACGCAACGACCAGCAGCGTACGGAAGGGAGGGTCGCAACGCACTGACGGCAGGCCCTTCTCCTACTCGGCGAGTAGCTTTGCTTGCGGCAGAGACCCGGTCACGGACGACGAGGAGCTCCGACGACATCAGGGGGGGCTTTCCACATGGCGAGTCGCCTATTTTTAAACGCGCGCGGTGTTGTAGAACAGGCCACGTTTGGTAGTGGATACTATGTTGTTGAGGTAATTCCCTTTTGTCAACGAGATCGAGCATAGTGATTCGAAAAAATCAGCGAAAAAGGCAAGTTGATTGTGACGGCTCGAATTCTCGTAATGTGCATAGGTGCTTAGATAGAACCGTCGGCCAATTGGTGTGGGGACAATGATCCCCTCCTTCCACAATAGGGCAAACGTCTCTCCAGTGTGTGTCGAGGACGATTCGAAACATTTTTTCGCAGCAGTATCTTCGAACAATGCCATGATGCAATCTTCCGAGCGCGTGCAGCGTCTGCTCTCCGACCGCACACACGCGTAGTTTCATCGCCCGTACCCCATATAGGGCTTAGACTACTACTGTTGTGTGTAAGGCGTTGCCAAGAACCGCGTTCTCCGTCAACCAGTGATGCTGTACTCCTACATGACTCGGCCGGACGCAGGTACGAGCAGGCGAGGTCCCAGCTGGTGTCTCTCAGCAGCAGCCCCGCAGACGAGGAGTACTTCCTTAGTTCCCGACGCTTCTGGAGCAAAGAAGAGCTCGGGGATTCGATGGGTGGCTCCTCCCCCCCAGCGCCTCATCGACGTTCGCCCGGGCCCATTGCTCGCGGCGGCAAGCGCTCGGGTTATTCCACGTCCGCTGCTGCTGCTTCGGGGCGAGGAGGGGGTGCGGAGGCAGGCCAAAGAGATGCGACGGGACGATTCTCTAACGACGGCACCTGCGGCGACAACGGCGGCGACGATCTCTTCGGCGAAAGGCCACAGAATCACCAGCAGAGAGGCTTCCCGCCACCTAGCCAGCAGACGAGAAGCTTACAGGGGGTTCCTGCGGATGGGCAGGAGGGGGTCCAATTCAAGGCAGGGGGGGGAGGGGGGCACAGCAGTGAGCGAGGGGGAGCCGACGTCTGGAGTCGACCGGATCGCTTCGGAGGCGGAAACTCGGCCGCCTTGTCGTGCCTTACCGTAGACGACATCGAGCAGATATTGAGAGAGTTGGACCCGTTGCCTGCGACGGTGGCGGTGTGCGCGGCGGTCGTGTTCCTCCTCGGCCCCGAAGACCAGCTGCCTTCGGATTTCCTCTGGCCGCAAGGGTTCGAGGCGGTGGCTCTCCCCGCCGAAGACTTCCTGCGCAGGCTGCACGAGACCTCCGGACAACGGGCAAGCGCGTCCAAGGCACAGTTTCTCGCGCCGGTGCTTCAGAGAGAGAATCTTCTCCCCGAGGCGATCGAGAGGCAAGGCGGGCACGCGGTGGCCAGGTAAGGAGGGGAGGTGGTCCGAAGATAGAAACTTTAAAAACTGTTTCTGTGTCATGACGCAGTGTCCAACGCACAAGGTGAAGACGGATCGTCGATTTTTTTTATGTGAAAAGGTGGCAAGTGTTGGACTTGCAACAATTGTTACGATTGAACTGGGACTTAAAACCGCCCTGATACCTGTGCGTTGCGCTCGATTGGGCATATATGATAAAAAAAACATCACACGAAACACGGAGGTGAAGCAGATCCTTTTCGCCGTGTCCCAACCCGTTTGTGCTCCACCCAGTCTCTGTGCGTGGGCGCTCGAGGAGCTGCAAGGTTGTGAGGAGTTCGCAGATTGGAGCGGGATGGCTCTTGAGCCGTGGTACGAGACTCAGCTAGTTCCTCCTGCCCGTGCCCAAGAGGATCCGACAGATTGCAGCGATGACGTCGATGGATGTGAGGTCAGGCTTATCTACAAGGCGCTCCACAAGCTTCCTCATGTTGGAGCGTCGTACGTGCTGTCGCTCTTCGAGGGCAAGAGCGGCGAGGGCGGCCTGATCGTCCGCGCGTTCGACCGAGCGAGGCGAGATACCTTCTGGCTCTCGCTGTCCCGGAACAAAGTCGATGCCTTCGGGAGCAACGCGACCCGTTCACCCTCGGCCTTGGCGGCCGCCCTGACCCGACGCCTGAAAACGAAGCCGGACGTAGCGGCCGGGACGCAAAGGCTGGTCCTCTTGCCCTTGAAGAAGATCGAGCCGTGTTTTGACAAGAAAAGAAAGAACACCGCCTCCACATCAGCTTCTGTCAGCGTTAGCGCGAACAGCGACGGAACAGAAGCGGACCCGAGGGGGGTCGTGAACGCCAAACCCAATCCAGATTCCCAACCATCGAACGAAGACCCCGCGGCGGCGGCCTTGCCGCCACAAGGTTCCGCGCAGAGGAGCCCGCAGCCGCGAAGATCGCACCCACCGGCGATGAGGGGCTCGAAGGTCGATGACCTAGGCCCCCTAGTCGAGGCCGAGGGGGACGGAAGCGAGTGCTCCGTAAGGGATGGGGCGGGCACTCAGTCAGTGCCAAGCGTCGTTGACGCAGATGGGGCCGACGCGGCGGACGAGCACACCGGAAACCAGTCGGAGGTGGAACCTGTTGAGGTTGCGGCGTCGGAGGAAAATTCGGTAAGGGGCCCAACATTCGGAGTACTTAAACAGCAGCCCTGCTTGTTATCGATGGTGATGATGGTGGAGGGTCCTTTACGGGCCGCGTATTTGTTGGTTTTGGTCACGTCTAAAGTGTGTAGGAGGCCGAACATCTGCCCGTTATCCTATTGCCTAAATAGACGTAGCAGACAGACCACCAGATATACATCAGTCCAAGACTCTATCTAGACCTTCTCAGCAGGCGTGCTAAAAGATGCCCTTGCTGTTTCTTCCCCATCTCTGCAAAAGCAGATCAGAAACCCTCATCCGACGGATAGCCACGAAAACATGGCGTTAGCTGGCGAGATCACCGGCGATCGCGAGAAGGAGGAACCTGCCATCCAAACAACGAAGGCAGTAAAACAAGCGCAAGCTCCTCCTGCCGATTCCCAAAACGATTATGGCCAGGGGGGGCTCGGGGAGACAGGGATAGAGGCCAGCGGCTCTTACGCCGACGATTTCACCGTCGACGACAACGAAGCCGGCCTAGGGCTTCCTGGGGGGGCGGGGGTTGAAGAAAGCGGCTCCTACGCGGATGATTTCGCTGCCGACGAGGACGATAACTACTACGACAACTACGACGACGACGACGCCGATCAAATGGAAAACCGGAAAGGGGTAGACCCGCTGGCGCGTGCAGGTGGAGAAACCGCAGCAGCATCCGGTGTCGTCCGTGGGGGAGGTGGTACGACGGGATCTGTCCTGTCGAATGCCGATGTGTGCCCCGACAAGACTACCGTTTCAGAGTCGGTTGTGTCCGGACCGGGTGGAACTGAACACGACGGAGGGCCATCGGAAGGCGTTCATGCGAGGGAGGAGAGTAAAGCCGAAGATGACTACGGAAACGAATATTCGGAGGAAGACGACGAGCATGACCAAAGCGCCAAGACCATCGTTGTTGTACCTTCGAACCGAACGGCTGCCTCGCTTGCAGAACCGGAAGAACCACCTTCCTCGTCCATCGACGTTCCTGCTACGGGGGGAGGTGGCGCACTGGCAAGCCAAACGCCGCGGTCAGAGAACTATGACGAAGACTTCGGAGACATGGAGGGCACCAGTGCCACGGGAGCGGGAGCCGAACCTGAGCAATACATCCAAGAACCAGACGACGACCCTAGAGGGTCACCGGGCGAAACGGCAAGCAATCCGAGCATGTCAACAGAAACAACAGCTGTCGACGAACCCGGCCGGGTTGATGCAGCCGAAAGAGAGCTGCTGGCAGAGGGAGGGGATGCGCAGGAGGTGCAGTCTCACGAGGGGGGTGACTTGGAGACTAAGTACGACGAAGCTCAACAACAGCCGCTACCGACAACAACCAAGCACCATACCGATGACCTAACACCGGCGTCGATATCAATAGATTCGTTAGGGAACATGGCTAAGGTTTCTGCGGGTGAGGGCTACGCCTCCGAGTTCGAGGATGCTCCGGAGGAAACCATCCAGGACGATATTGAAACGAGTATGGCATCAGAAGTAGCGGCCGCAGCAGTAGCAGCAGCTGAAAGCTCGGCCTTGGAACGGGTGTCCGAAAGGAGCGTGTCCGACGCCCCCAGGCTCGCAGCGAATGGTGCGGCAAGCAACAAAAAAGCAGAAGCAATCCAGAATTATTACCCGGAGGATGGTTATACTGGTACGGAAGCGGTGGTTTCCATGACAAATCCCTCCGCCATGGAACCACGGCAACCTTCGGGGCAGAGTGAGCCGCCCAACACCAGCCGAACATCGCTAATCGAGTTCGAAGACCGCTTTGCAGACACTGCGGACGACAACGATACCGAAGAAATGAGTGTAAGAAGCGGAGACACCCACCAAGTAGCAGCAGCAGAAGTAGCAGCAGAAGCAGCGGCAGAAGCAGGAGCAGAGGCAGCAGCAGAATCCAGTGTTCCCGTCTCTGCCCCGGAGTCCACCGATCAGGTCAACGAGAACGATTGTTTCTTGACCGACGATTCAGTACAAGACGTTATTGAGGAGGTTGGGGTACAGGAGGACTCTCCACTAGCAACGAGCCCGGAGGGGTTGGTTCCTCAGACATCCACGTCGAGCAGAGCAGAAATGTCGGGGGCCGATAGCGATGCTGTCCCAGCCATTGCGATCGCCGGAGACGCAGCGGAAGAAGATCACTTCGAAATGGAGTTTGAACAAGAGGAAGCGGAGCCGGCTCAGCCACCCACAATGGGCACGGCAGGGACTGAGGAGATAAGATCGGTGCCGGGTGACACTCCCTTTCCAGCAGAGTCATCGCCATCGCCATCGCTGGAAAGGAACCCCGCCGAAGAAGTCGACGACGAAAACGAAGGCGCAGGAAATGCGACGAAGGAAGAGCGTCATCTCTCAGCAGCACCTGAAGATGTGCCTTCGCCCTCCCTGAGTGGGAAAGAACCGAGGGACGAAGGCTTATCTGGTGGTCCAGTCGGGGAACAAGCGGAGGTTGGCGGGGAAGCAAAAGAAACGCATTCGATGACAGAAGGCGAGGACTTCGAGGAGGATTTCGAGGACGATTTTGCCTCAGCGGGATCGGACAAAGAAGATGGGGATGTCGGTTTCGATAACGTCCAAGCAGGGCAGAAAACCAGCACTCCAGAGGTTGGTAGTAGAGAGGAGACCTTGGTAGCGTCTGCACAACAGGACGGCGGTGGGGGGGCTGAGGCCTTCAGCGAGTCGGAAGACTTGAATCTTCCAGAATCCGTAGCAACAGCAGGAGCCAGAGATGAGTCGGTCACCGGAAGTGAAGAAAGAGAACCGGGTGGAGAATCGTCGCAACGAGAAGCTATGGAGTCAAGGCAATCCGTGGAGGAGGTAAGAGGCATGCAAGTAATATCCACGTACGTTAGTGTCATCCTAAATTGCTTGACCAATCACGCCATCCTGAAAGAATGCGTACATTGTATATTTGTCACTGCCGTGTGCATAGCTTGAAGGACCTCTATCTAGCTGTGCAACCATTCAGAGTGCCGCACGTTGCCTTGTTTGTAGCGGGTGTTCCACCTCATCGTATGGGGCAGGTGCGTCAGCCCTCTACCCCACAATTCTATTCCCCGGAGGCAAGGCCCATCACCACCTCCAGCACCATCCGACCGCATTTGTCCGCCGCTACTCCCCTCACAAATTGATACACATCCAAAGTTGCTTGACAACCAGGCGGAGAACCGCGAAGAGGACGGAGTGCGAAGGGGGTCTGTGGATCAGGTTTCGACACCAGCGGGAACGGCAGCGACAGCAACAGCCACCGCAGCAGCAGCGCCGGCAGCAGCAGGAGCAGCAACAGAGCTGTCTGACGAGGATGGAGATGACTTTGGAGATGATTTCGAGGACCCATAGCATGGGCAATGCCACATGTTGGCAACCACGAGAGCTAGGAAATTGGTTGCGATCTTTCCTTCTGTCTGCACGGCTGGTGTTGTTTCGTCCCCTAAGTGCAATGTTTAAGGCCCATGGCCTAGGCTACTGTAGTAGTCGACGAATGATTTCTAGATGGCTTCACCATGTGCAACGGTTTTCAAGTACGAAGGTACTGTACACTAGATGGACACCGAAGAACGACCGCCGGAAGGCGAGGCTGAGGAATGTTGTGGTATAGAAAATACGGTGAAGGTCACGCCCCAGCCGGCCCAAAAACACCAAGAGGATGGAGGGTGTAGAACTGCGCACGTTCCGTGTCATTGTCGTTGTTGTTCTTGTTGCTGTTGGTGGTGGTGGAGGTGGAGGTGGAGGTGGAGGTGGAGGTGGAGGTGGAGGTGGCGGAGGTGGTAGAGGTGGTGTCGTTTACGTTGTCCCTTGCCGGTTTGTTGTTGTTGTCGCTGCCGCTGTTTGTTGCCGTTGCCGCCTGTACCGCTGTTGCTGTTGTCGGTCGTTTTTACACTGGGAACGTTCTGCCACAACCCAATACCTGCTGTTCGATACTCTTCAAGGAAAACCAAGAATTGCCATTGTCGCAGGCTAACACAAAATGTGACCCAACGTACGAAACTATTATTTGGGTCGTGCGTCGAAGAAAGGAGCGCTCGCTCTCTTCTCTGAACCAGCATACAGACGTAAAATGACATACGGTCCACACTCCACAAAAACCCACCCCCAGCTTGTATATGATCCGGGTTCCAACACCATGACATCGACACACACGGAGGCTGAGGCGTCGGTGTTAGGCGTTCGTGTTGGGGAACGGTTTCATTCCGGTTCGCGGGGGCACCTCAGACAATATTTCGACCCTACAGCATCTGTCGCAGCTGCCGTACCTGCCCCGTACCTGCCTCCTCTGCTCCGCCGCTCTACCGCTCTCTCTCTCTGCAGCTCTGTCTCTCTCGCTCTCCACCAAGCGAAGCGCCTCCGACCTCTTGCAGCAGTAAGTTCAATAGAATTTTTTCTGCCATGGTTGCCATGATGACAATCAAGGGTTTCCCATCCTCCCTGCCCGAGGCGGAGATCAAAGGGCTGCTCGAGACCATCGGCCAGGTACGAGGGGAGCGAACCAACGAACCAACGATGATGATGATGCTGTACTTGTACCGTCTCTCCCGCGCGTCCTTGTTGGCCATTCGTGGGGTACGCCCGCAGCAAACCGTCTTGGACCTGTCCAATTGTCGGTGTCCTCGGTTGACTGGCGTATCTCTGTTGCTGTTTTCGGAGGATAGACCCATACCTGGAAACAATGAACAACCCGCCCAAGGTTGGTTCGGCAGCAGTAGTGGAGAAGGGCATCACCACGAGCCAGACAGAGGGAGTAGGATAACATAACAGCAGCAATATTTGCTTTGTTGGCGGAACCCGAGAGATCCTTGTCCAGGCAGCCTCGCAGTCTCTTGTCTCCTGTGACAAGGGTTTGTGTTTTTTCCACGAACATCTACTCCTGTAGTCTACTGATTACCGACCTATAATAGCTTTTACGACTGCCGCAACACCCCAACTGCATTTTGATTGGAGAACCGATGGCGCGGCAAAGGTGCAAATATATTTAACCCTCTGAGAACCTACAGATAGGTTGATGTTGAATCGCCCCTCTGCTTCATCACCCAACGAAGAAAGCAACACACGAAACACGAACCTGTCAAAATACAAAGCGTGTTGATTCAAATGCGTTTGACTACTGCTGTCATGTACACCGGCTGCTCATCAGTAGAAACAGCTCGACTCATTTTTTTTCTTCTCAGTACTTCTATGACCCAACGAATCCATCTCTATCGAAGAAAATAGTCAAAGATATGCATACTGTAAGCAGTAGATTAGCAATGAATCCATAGCGTCAGCGAAAGTATTTCTATTTTCAGTCCCTCCTAATTAGAAATAGAAAAACGCAGCAGTTTCGGGTTTCCGCGGGAGCTCGGCTTGTCAGATTTGAAGCTGCGTTCCTGGGACCAGTCCTGACTGCCGCAAGTCCCAGATTCAAAGGGCTTGAATGGACTGCCGATTGTTGGGGACTTTCGCAGGCATCGCCCCTGGTATCTACCGATCTATCTGCATCAACAGGCACAATCTACCAACCTAAACTGTGCGCGCCGTGTAGTATATAGATACTCTACACACAACCGACATATCCCCATTTTTAACGGTCCTGACAGCCAGTAGTCCGTGGGTTTGCCTTGTGTAGATACACGACAGGAAGCGTTTGCGCCATTTTCGTGCGTCCCTAGATCCGCTGCGCAATGTAGATGAATCTCAGCAGAGAAAACTTGGCGGTATGCTTTGGTAGTTATGCATACAATAGCAGACCGCGGACAGTCACCATCAATCAGATCGATGCGGCACGATAGTTCATGTACCTGGTATGATACAGTAGTGCATATCAAGCAAGGGTTTGTATTGGATTGTAAGCCACCAATCCAGCGTCCCTGTTCTTTGGTACCCTGTGGGGGGCAGAGAAGCGACATGGTAAGCGCATCCGACCGGAACCATTTTCGAAACCCGCATGGTTTTCTGCGCTGTTGGTGATGACATATTTGAGTTTGGCGCTAAGATATTTCTTGGGGCGCAGAGATCTCCGACAAACGAGGTGTCTAAAACCGACAGATCAATCTACACATATCCCCTTGTACCCAACACTATTGTCGTTTTCATTGCACATCATTCTCACGAGCTTAAAGTTCCCCATCCGGCTTTCGCCTCTGTTTTAGCGCTGTCATGCGCCTACTGCCTGCTTGGCCCTGTCCCTGAAAGCCACTACTGTTACACAGTTAAATCTACCCTTGCCCCCCTCTTTTGGACGTTTTTCGGATCGTGCTTACAACCATCTTTGTCACCCCACGATGGCACAAAAAATGGCGCTGGTGCAGGTGGACATTTTTCGGTGCAACGTGGACGGCGATAGCCTGACGTGCACGTGTCGGTACTCTACGGACGACGACACGGCCAAGGCCAAGAAGGGATTCCACGACCTTGAGGTGCGTTCACCATTCAGAAATATGCACATACCGTTTATTTGTCTCTTGATCATGGAATCATCTCTGGTTTATTGAGAATACAATCGCAGAAAGATCACGACATAGGTACACCCACGGCAGTCGAAGGGGGGCGTTGAAGTCTTTGCGGTGAGTGGGTGATTAACCAGCTGCGTTGGTTTTTGTTGCACGTTTTGATGCCGGTTGGCGTTTACCAAAGGACACTGGGAGTCTTAAGGTGTGGCTTTCGATAACACCCATCAGACGGCATCTATGTCTTTCTAGGTCTAGGGGCTCCAAGCGCTGGCGGCGTGCATGTTGCTCGTCGTGTTTTTCGACCCGGCGGTGTTGACGACGGTGTTGAGAGAAACACGAGTCTTCCCGTCTTAGCGAACATGCCGAAAAACGTTGAACTCCCTCTCTTTCGTTTCCCCCACCCTTTTCTTACGGCCCACCCGCGTTTGTGGACCCGTAGGACCCGATCCTACCCTACCCCGTCACTGCTGGTCTTGTACCGATCCATCGATTAACCCTGCTCCGCTTACTTATACTGCCGTTTTTCAAGATGGGCGAGATGACGCTCAAGGTTGATGTCGAAGAAGCTGCTCCGGGCACAACCGACACCTCCAGGTGACGAATCAGTCTCCGTTCAGGCACTCTCGGCATGTTGGGTGTCGCTTGCGTTGGTATGTAGATGGCAGACGGGTACATGGTGCATGTTTTGCCTATCTCCGTTGTCTGGTTCCGGTTGGTAGTTGGTTCTCCCATGAGCACTGCTGTTCGTGTCTTGGTGTGCAGAAGTGGTCCCGCTATGATGCCGGTAGGCGCCAGCCCCTTTGAACCGGCATTATAGGCGGGCAACCGGCATTCTATAGATTCGGCCTGGACTCAAGCATAACTCAGGGAATTATCGACCTGTACGGCCACTGCTGCTGTGCCTGAAATGCACCGACACGCTGAAAAAATCCAAACTACAACCATAAACGCACACAGCGCTGGGAACGCCGGTGGCGACGGGTCCGGCGACAAGGCCCCTGCTGAGGGGTCTAGCGTCGAGGAGAAAAAGCCCGCGGCATCGGAAGAGCCCCCGCGGCGAAAGAAGTCACGCTTCGCGCCCCCTCCCACCGGCGCCGTCGATCTCCAAGGCGGTGAGGGCAGCGGGGGGGAGGGGATTGGGATTTGCGGTGGTTGATCAAAGAGTAGTGTTCGTTTCTCGGCCGCCCCGCGTGTATATGAACGTTTGTATCATACGCTGCGTGAGTGAAGGTCTGCCTCTTCGTGAAACGATGTATCATATCATATCGTACCATACCCAACTCAGGAGTGACAACGAGTGCCTTGTACGAGGCCGGATGCTGCCAGCCTCAATGTTTAGTGCCGAACTTTCCTGTCACGTCCACGACGTTTCCTTTGCCTTTGCCCCCGCTTTTCTTCCGCTACTGCTGTACCTCTTTTTGGCCTATTGGTTCTCTCTTTATCAAAATGCGACCGGTTTAGGTCTCGGGGCCACCCCTGGCGCCGCCGGCTCGGGCCTCCTGGGCATCCCGGGCCTGGGCGGGGGTGGGTTGGGGTTGGTAGGTCTTCCTCCGGCAAGCGTGCACGCAGCTGGTGCTGGTGGCTTGGGTGGGCTGGGCCTTCCAGGCAAGTGCTGCATGCGCACAATCGAGAGTCAACAGTATTGGGCGGGACAATTGAGGCGACTGTTGTTTGGGTATTGGCGGGGGCTGTTCATTGCTTGCTGGTATAGGAGTATGGTTTTCTGCGTTAGAGTCGAAAGTTCTCCGCGATAGCAAGGTAGCAAGGCTAAGGCTTGGCGCAGCTGGTGTTGGTCGGGCTGAACGGCCATCACCTGCTTGGCTCGAAAATTGCAGGAGGTGGAGTATTGTCGTCCTACGTTAGACCCACCTCGGGCAATGACCTTGGGAGGACGAACAGAAACGAAACAAGACCAATATTAATAGCAACAAGAACAACAACAACAACAACAAAATCAATGATGGCGACAACCACGGCAACATCGAAAACACCACAAACAACTTCAATAGCAACGGCGAAATCAACGATGGCAGTAACGACGGCAACAACGATACCGTTACAAGCAACAAAAGCACAAAGAGACTACATACGACCTCGACACATTTCAATGAAATATTTCAATGCGACAGGTGCCATGGGTGGTTTAGGCGGAATGCCGGCTGCCATGACCCCCCAGATGAAGAGCCAGATCGAAATCTTCGTCGGAAACATCCCCGTCGGGACGACACAGCAGGGGCTAGTGGACTTCCTCAACGCGGCGATGCTCAAGGTATCATACACGACACGCGTCAGCAACGGATCGATCCTACTCGTCACCTTTTGCTTTTTTTTTTTGCGCGTGTGTTGCGTCTCTTAGCAAGGGGAATATGGATCCTTCCCTTCCAAGCACATGCTCGTATTATGAATACATTGTAGGGTGATGGTTGTACCTTGCGTATTTTCGAGAACCCGTGATGTGAGCGGTCATTTGGTGTTTGGTGAGGGTTGGCGGGGATGGAAAGAAAGATCCGTTCATGGAAAGATCCGTTGGTTCCGTTTGTGTTCCTGCGTCCGAGGTGATTGAAAAGGACGATACAATGCAATTGCTCAATCTCGGAAAAGCGCAGCGTGTTGTGACTTTTCCTGCCGTCTTCCTGCTTTTTTGCTCCCACACCATCTATTTCGCCTGCGCATCTTGCTGTCCACCCTTGTGTCCACAATATCAACTGCGTAGATTAATTTACCTCGTTTCGTTCTGAATACGGCGTTCCTCGCGGAAAAGGTGGGGCTCAACCTTCAGCCTGGGAATCCGGTGACATCCTGCCGTCTGAACTCGAAGTTCGCCTTCTGTGTCATGAGAAACCCCGAGGAGGCCGCCAAGGCTCTTAACCTCAACGGCATTCCTTACCTTGGGAACGTCCTCAAGATGGTGAGTAGCTGACTTGAGTGCGCCGCACACTTGGGTCGAGAACTACTGCAAGCTTGGTCGAGGTGCTTGGGGGTGTTTTGCTCTCCGAGGCCTGTGTTGCTCTCTGTTCATTTTCCCATGGTTTTTGTCAGCGCATGGGGCTGTTTCATCAGGCATGGGACACCCGTTTCCGCCCGTAGTGGCTCCTAGCCTTCTTGTTTTTGCAGCGTGTGTGTTGAGCGTGTCGCGGCTCTGTGCTCGCCTTGCACGTGATACCCTTGTTGCGACCACGACCGTGCTGACCCCCGTGTACCTTGTACCCCTTCTGGGCGTCGTCTGCACCCGTGTTTCCTATATGTTGCCTTTTGCAGCAACGACCTTCGAGCTACACCGGCCCGCCTGACAGGGCGGTCACTTGGCAGGTAAGAAGGCGGATACATACATACTACAGACAAGGGCTCAGAGTCTTCTTGCGGTGCAAATCATACCCAAAGTAGGATGCGCCATGCATATGCTAAAGGCGTCACGTCAAGGTTGGAGAAGAAAGGGTACCGGAAAGCCTGCTATGCGTGCAAATGGCCCTGGCCAAGGATATATCGGTGTCGAGGTCGGGCAAGATGTACAGGTAACTTAGCGGCGATGCTAGATGTTATGGTCGACCTACGTACACCGTTACAGGCACACTGTACAGTTGTACGACGACCAGAGACAAACGGAGACCGTATTCTCGGTCAGGTCAGGAATCCAAAAGTATCACTTCATTTCTTTATTCGGCGTGAGATTTATGTAGTGCATCCACAACGTCTCTCCCCTTCCCCTTCACCGTTTTCGGAAGATGAGTGACGGCCCTCCCACAGCGGTCATTTTGCTGTTTGTGGTGACACTCTTGGTTCATCATCATCGCCGTCATCACCATGACCATGAGGCTGACCGCCCCTCTCTTCCTTCCTCCCTCCCTCCCTCCCTTCCCTGTCGACCCACGGCACCCCCCTCCCCCCCTACCTCCCCCCCCTCGGCCCTATCCTCCATTGCTTTCGTCCCCCTTTGTGACCCTTCTCTCCTTCATCTGTTTCTTTTTTGTGGTTCTGGTCTGGTGTTGTTGGTGCGCCGACGGCGATACGATACGATACTACCGGGCTCCGTATCTCATCTCATGGTTGGGAAATCTCTCCGTGATTGACGGATTGCCAACGGGTCGTTTCAAACTCAAAACCCTGGAAAACTTAAACTCATTTCGTGACCTTCCGCACATGCGCCAAAAAAACACGGTAATAATTGCCGTATACCATGATCGCGCCTTCTACTTTATTGTTCGGCGCGGTGTGCCCGAACAACACAACAACGGTTGGGGCACCTACGAAAAAAATATTTCACCGCTTCCTGTCTCTCATTAATTGTTGTCCTTGTACCATGGTTTTCGTTTTCTGACGCACTACTGTCCGTTAAAGCTCGCTACCGCACGAACCGTACTACCGTGTGAAGTCTCAATTGTGATAGGCGGATACGGTTTGACGTTCGAAACGCGTTTCTAAGAATTGGACAGGTGGGCACGTGTGTATATGGAGTACTCCAATATATTTGAGTATTATCCGAACGGTTCTTCAGAACGTTCTCTGTATGAGCCAGGACGGCGGGACATATTGCCCAGACGCGTCGATCGTATAGAAGATGAATGCACTTTATTGCGAAAGTATCTTGACAAATCGTCACCATAATACATTCGAAGTAGTAGTTTTGATCCGTTGTCGCTTAGGCATGCGCTCCGAATGCCGAATGCTCAACAAGGACCGACGAAAGACTACGGATTTCGTGACCGGGTGTGGTTCTCTGTAGTATGCAGTCCGGCTCTTTTGCTGTTTTCCGCATTGGCCACCACATCGGATACACTTATGCATACGTACATACAACGTAGTTCGGACAGGTTTGGGATGGTACAGCTATAGCACCACGACGTGAACGAGCGGGACTGTGCGAAGAACGGCGAACCCCCTCCCCCCCCCCTCTCCCGTTTCCCCTTCCTCTTCCTTCCCTCCGCCGCTGCTCCCCTCCGGTTGCTGTCTTCTTTTTTCCTGTGGAAACAAAATAGGAACTCGAAATACCTCTCTTTTTAGCCCTCTTTTTCGTTGATATCCGGGTGAACGAAACTGCCCGAACCTGGAACCCCTCCGTAGTCAAGGGGTACCGTGAATCAGTCGATCGGGGGGTGGGGTGGCGGCAGATGGGAGAAACGCGAGACAGGGGACAGGAGATGAGATTGAGTGAGAGTATATGTCCACGGCACAATTTTGTTTCTCTCCCTAGCTCTTGTTCTCTCTTTGTCCCCCCTCCCTGCCGCCGTGCTCTCCTTTTTTTGCTCTTCGTGTCGTTTGTGTCGGCCCTTTTATGCGCGGAGTAGAGACTTGACCTACACGCTACAAGGTATCGTACGAAGGAAGCACGAAGCAATCGAGTGATAGATAGGAACACGGCCAATGCGATTTGTGTTGGATGCCCACGGTTGGTGTGTTACGTCAAGACTACCGGGCTGTCTGTGAAGATAAGATACACACGGAATGGGATCGGTGTTTTCGTCGTGTCAAACAGCGTTTGGCACACTATTGATAGGCACTACACTATATAGGTGGAACAACACACCTCCCTCCCTTCCTCCCTCCCTTCCTCCCTCCCTTCCTCCCTCCCTTCCTCCCCTGTGTGCGTCGTACGCGTGACGATTTTGTCCCTCTTCCCAGCCTCTTGGCCTCTCACTCTCCCTCCCTTTTCTCCCCATGCTCATCTGCCAACTGATGTATGGTATTTCCCTAACGCTGACCCAGGTGCTGACAGGGCAGGCTGAGATGCCCGCAGAAGGCATGATGTTGATGCAGAACTCTGCGACCAAGCTGAGTTGCGAGGTGTTCGTCGGAAACATCCCTCCGGAGACCCAAGCTCCTACCCTTCAGGTATGTCCTATGCATACCATTGGCGATTGATTCCTAAGACGGGGGGCGGTACATGTATTTACGGCGGTACCTCCTTTTGGAGGTATTGTTCCCCCTTTTGGAGGTACAGTCGTCCCTCGGTTGAGGACACTCACGGCGGTTTCTGGACGAAACAGGTGTCCGTAAGCCGGGGAAGTGTCGTTAAGATTGATACCCCCGTTATGCCGTACATTCTACGAGGCACCACCATGCCTGTGAAAACAAAGGTGATCTTAACCGAGGGAAGACAGTCTTGTAAGCATTGCTATTGGAGATTTTCCGACAGACACAGACACCAGTCCGACAGACACAGACACCAGTCCGACAGACACAGCCACCAGTCCAATGCATTGTTCGAAATGACAGACGGGATAAGACGATGCGATGACAGGCTACAGCAGCCAAGAGAGACAGAGACACACACACAACCAGATGAGACAGAAGGATAGAAGGATAGAAGGATAGAAGGATAGGGACATATGGACGCAGACGTGTCTTTTTTACGGTATGCAGTATCAACCGATCGTGATGTCGACTTCTAATGACACGAGCTGCGTACACAAGGCCCAGCATGTAGATGAATGAGATTGTCCAAGCGGGGTGTTTGGGCGAGATGGGTGCCGACTTTCGACTTGTGTCCCATGTAAATTCCCCAGACTTTTTTCATTTTAGACAGGCACCACCTTCCCCCCGATTATTATTATAGTACGCTTGATTCTTGCCTCACCTGCAACAGTTGTTACCTCACTCGTGTCCCCTACCTCACTACCTCACTACCTCAATTTTCTTCTGGCCTCTCACCTCTCACCAATGCCCTGCAAACAGGAGTACCTAGGCGGTGCGCTGGTTCAGGTGGGTCTCTGCAAGCCGCCGAACCCCATCCTGTCTATCCGCATGAACGCTCGCTTCGCGTTCTTGGAGATGAGGACAGCGGAGGAAGCAACGGCGGCGCTTAACCTAGACGGCATCCCCTTCGGGGGAGCGGCTCTCAGCGTCGGCCGTCCTAAGAAGGTTAGTTGTTAAATAGGTAACCCTTAACCCTATCCCGTACCGATTTAGTTAGAACCCGTTAACCAAGGACAAGTTAGAACCCGGTAAACAAAGGCGTGCGGTTGCGGCACATGCGGGCGGATAGAATTGGAGCTCAAAGGTTTGCGGGTACAATACTGGTGTGAGGTATGCACATGTATGACGAACGTGAAACCATGATGTAAGGTGTTTATGTGAGCAGTGTACAATAACATGTATAACAAGTATCATTTGTCTTTCCGCTCAAATCGCTTCATTCTGCAAGCGCCACATTTCCAACGGAGGCCTGAGAGGGCACCATTCCGTTTTCTCGCGCTCTGTGAGAGCAGCATTTCCGATTTTTTATTCCGATTTTTCGGGCCCTCACCAACTACCATTTTTTACTCCACCTTCTCCACTATTATTGGTCTCTCGCCCTGTTTCTCTCGGTGTCCGTGTGTCTGTCTTTCTATCTACAAAGTACCTCTCTCTCTTTCTCTATCACCCTTTGTCTCTCTCTCTCTCTTCTATTTAATCGTCTCTCATATCTCCCAGCTCACTTTTAATTTCATGCTCACAGGCCGGATTGATTGCAATTCCACACACCGGACTCTTGTCAGATAGACTGGATGCTTCCGCTTCCTCTCCGATCACACACACATGTGGCTGTCGGTGTGTCTCTTCATTCGCTGTCTGTCTGGAACTCACGCTCCTTGCTATGCGATCACACGAGATCTCTGCTGTCCCTCTGTATCTCACACCCTGTGCACGGGCCTGTCAGGGATTCCTGCAAGATTCTCCGCCTGCGTTCTCCGATTCTCCGTTTTCTCGACCTCGGCAACTTGCGCAGCTATCTCGCTCTCTTCCTCGCACACGCGCTCGCACCCCCCCCCTTCCTCTTACTCCGCCGACAGCACCCTCCACTGCCTACGTGTATATACATGTATGTCGCGCAACACCTTCAACGCCTCTCCTGCTGCCAAGCGATATAAATTTTGTGTTTCGGCCAGGAGCTCTCCATTCTTCACCCGCCAATTTTTTTAGCGGGCCGCTGCGGCCACCATTCCGAATTTTCGGGCGCTTGGCGGCTCGCCATTTCTCCCATCCAAATCTAACTTGGATTTAACCCCTTTAGGGCTGGATCGCGTTTTGGGGACACATTTTGTCCTCATCTTCTTCACCTGCTTTACCTCGCGAAGATTGGCATGATTGTCTCCTCCTTTGCACTACTCGACCAGGGGGGGTGCCAGGGTACACAGGGACGACTCTAGTCTAGTATGGATGCTTCGTAGAGTGGAGGAGTATGAGGGTAATGAACAGGTCGAATCGCGGGGCGATTACGCCGCCGGTTCAACAGCGAAGTTGCGCCGCGTCTGTTTACCCTTGGGTGGAAAGCGCTACTAGGGGCAGAGCGGAAGAAGTACCTAGACCACCGTTGATAGGAGGCACCAAGCAACCTAGGGCTTGAGTTAGAAGGTCTCCCTTTCCCTCTTGAGAAATATGTTGAAAACCTCCTTTTCGTGCCCCGTTTACCACGCTCCCGCCAGTTGCTGTCTATAATCCCTATCAAATGTCCCCTCGTGTCCCCTCGAATCGAGGGGACAATTGATAGGGATTATAGACAAGAGACGGCTCAAGTGGAAGGCAGCTTTGCACTTGTACCCAGGGATGGAACTGTCTGCACCATCCAATCAGCAGGCGTCGTTCGCTCTTTTTCTTACATTTCAGACATTTCGCAAGACCGCAGAATTTTCTGTGCGTGGTAAGGGGGTTAAGAGTGGGCTTTTTTGGGATGGTTTTCCGTTTCGGTTCGATCTCACGCTCACTCCACACAGCACACAGCCGCGTAGACGCGTAGTACACACGAAGTCTCTCTCGCTCTGTAGATTGTCTCTGTCTCCCTCGCTATCTGTATGTCTGTTTGCCTGTCTGGCTCTTTCTCTCTCTCTCTGTCTCCCTTTCTCTCTCTCTCTCTCTCTCTCTCTCTCTCTGTCCCTCTCTCTCCTCAGCTTACACATCCCCACACAGAAATCCGATTCTTCTGTGTAGAGGCCACAATTTTTTTCCGTTCCGGATTTCTTTTTGATGATTACACTCAGCTGTACAACCTAACACGCTGTGCTTTTTCGAGCAGTACACAGTAGTAGTTCTCGCTTTGTCTCTCTCTGGTCTCGGTCTCTCTCGCTCTCCTTAGTACTCTCTCTCTCCCCCCCCCCCCTCTCTCTGTCTTCCACTCTCTATACCCTCCGATTTTTCCGGGGATCTTGCCCATCCGCTCCTCCTGTTGCCACAGCTTTTCGGTGTTGTTCCCCTCTCTCCTTTCTTCGTACCGCCCCGCGCAGACGCCCTTCTTCGTGTTCCGTTGGGGTGTATACACGATGACACGCTGTTGTTCTTTCCAACAGAACAAGAAATAACAGCATCGTGCTTTCTCAATAAATGCATGCGTGTTCCGATACATACGTGGCTGCCTGTAAACTCTGTTGTCATGTGGTTGTTGGGTGCAATTCTTTTCACTTTGGGTCCATCCAATATCTTCAAGCAGAGGTTCTTCCAAACAAACGCAGGCACGTATTATACTATTCACTACAGCAGTACCTAGTCTATGCTTATATATTCCGATCTCTTTGAGATAGACTGGCTAGATGGTCCGGTCCTCCTGTGGCTTTCCGATTACACGACGTCTGTCGCTCTGTCCTCCGCTGCACACATTTATTTGCGGCTCTCCCTCACACGAGGCACTAGGTCTGACCCTCTGTCGCTTCCCTCTCTGCCTGTCTGGATCTTCGCTGAGAGGGCTCTATTTCGGGTCTTCTCGGTCTCTCTAACAGCGCTGCATTTCCTCGTTTCCATCTGTTCCTCGCTGTTGTTTTCTTTCGTTCACCGTTTCTCTCTCACGTCTCATCATTGCGTCTGGCTCGTTCATCACACCCGGCTCGGTCGCCCGGAACCTTTCTCCCTTTCACACACGTCACATTACTTCGTGCCGCCAGCAGTCCACATGTCCCACACCACAGCAGTATGTAGAGTTTTTTCAACATCCAGATTCATATTTCCCGTTTTCATTTTATGAAAAATGTTCATTCCGTTTTCCCGCTCTTTCTCGCTCGCTCGAGGAAGGAACCGTTTTTAGGCACTTTCCTCTGCTCCCCATCTACCACAACAAATACATCTCATCGTTTAACTGCGCCTCTCACAGGGCTTTAGGCCAGTCTCTCTCTCTTTCGGGCAGCCAGTAGTCTGCTCTCTGACCCGTCGTCGGACTTTCACATGTTTCAAAATACACGCGTTCGTCTCTCTGGGATCTCGCATGTACGCGCCGAACATGCATGTCTATTTTTCAAGAATTTCATCTCTCTCCGGGATCTTTTGAGGGCTGGCTTGGTTTAGTTATCTCCGTTTCTCGCATGCATGCGAACAACCCTAAGCATATTCATGGGAACGTACTTCACGGGAATCTCACAGCCACGGCATGCCACAAACGAAGGCCCCATTCAACAAACGCCAACTAACATCGTACATCAAACACCAAGTAACATTCGTCTTGCGGTACGCTTTTCTCAGCGTGGCGGCGTAAGCCGCCAAAAATCCTTGTAATTGTACGAGTTATCTTTTAGTGTGTTCGTTGCGTCGCTGTCCCCCGTAGACAAAACCAACAACAGCAGCACAACGCCTTGTTCCATCGAACCCTCTTCCCGCAGTACGAGGGGCCGGTCACGCCTCACAAGACTTGGTTCGACGTCCTCGCGGAGTGCAGCTTCGGCCTCATGGGAGGAGCCGGCCAGGGCGGCGCCGCAGAGGCGGAACCGGCCCCCACCTCTACCGTGGTTCGGATAGGAAATGTCGTGACTCCGGAAGAGCTCACAGACGATGAGGCGCAAAAAGAGGTGAGCACGGTAGCAACGACGAGGCTCTGTTGCAAGAGGGTGTGTACTGTACTCGAAACCGTGCATGCCTAGTTGTTAGACCATTGACCTCGTCGTCGTCGTTTGGACCATTGATCTCGCATCTCTTCAGTACAACGACATCTCTACAGTAAAATGACGGGACGGAGCGTTTTCGTCGGCCTAGGCTACGCTTACAAGGATGAAGGTCATGATCCTTGCGTTTTGGAGGGCGGGGGGGTCGTTTGTGGCCAAGCGGTTTGCGGGGGGATGGAGTTGGACGAGGGGTGAAGGGGACGGGTTCCTGCGGGCTTGCTCGTTAGGGTACGCTTCCCGCCAGGTTCCCGTGCGGTTGCTGGTTTTGAATTGAAAAGTGTAACAGAGTAAGCAGCACATCAAACCCGCAAACCCGTGTACACGTACCGTACCGTACCGTAGTATCACTTTTTTTTTTCAGGTTTACCCACGGTTTGAGCGGAGTCGTGTTTGCGCCCCCACCCCCGGTCAATGGTGTATCCGGTAAGGCATGTTAATGCTAACCATGAGTACGCCCCCCCCCCACCCCTTTTTTTTTGGCGGTAACCATAATGGTGGTCGAGTAGATAATGTTGTGCGGGGTGGAGAACCCTCGCTCCGCGCAAGGGGGATGATCGCACCACGTTGTGTTAAAATGGTCAAGCACCCTCGAGGCAGTTACACAGTGCTTACAACTGTCTCTGGAAGTGAAAGCACCAGAAAATAAATTAAGTCATACGCAGCTGTCATCCGTACGCAAGGAAGTAAGCACAAGATGCTAGAACACCCTTAGCAGGATGCAGCTCACCCTTCATGCGACTCGCCGAATACCTCACGGCGCTTCGCGCTTGGTGATGTGAGAGCCTGGTCCGGTGAGAACCCGGCGTGCTCCGTCCCGGCTTTGTAGGGATGCGAGGTCAATGGTCTAACGACTACGGCATGCACGACTATGAGTACACCCCCCCCCCTCCCCACCCTTCCCCCGCTCTCTTGCTTGTAGGTAGTGGAGGACATGACGGAGGAGTGCTCCAAGTATGGCGCCGTGGCGGGTATCGAGATTCCCCACGTCGGTGGGGCCGGCGCCGGGGTAGGCTTCGTGTTCGTCAAGTTCCACACTCTCGAGGACGCGCAGAAGGTGTGGAAAACGGGGGGGCACAGTTTTGTTGGTTGGCGTTGGAACAGCCACACCAGCTATTAATAGTACCATACAATGTAGGCTTCCTTGGAATTATTTATCCTGCACAAGCAGTCGTTGTTGGTGTGTGTCATGCTATTAATGCAATATCCATAGCACGATATCCATAGCAGCACTGCTGTGTTTTTCTTTCAACGGCGGACTGAAGGGACACAAACTTCTCAACTTGCGCCCCTAAGGTTTCAGCAAACTACCAGGTATGTACTCTGCCATGCGCAAGAATCCCGTCCCTGATGTGCGTCCCCTCCCCCCCCCCCCCCTCCGTCCAGGCGAAGAAGGGTTTCGGCTCCCGCACGTTCGACGGCAAGTCTGTCGACGCCACCTACTTCCCTGAGGAGCAATTCGCCGCCAAGTCTTTCGCCTCGTGATTCCGTAGACTCGACCCCCGTGTGGTTGTGTATAGAGTCCGTGCACGTGGCATGCTGTAGCGTCATCTCTGGCGCGGTGGCTTTTACGGCAGGGTGGTTTGGTCCGTCTTGTGTTTCTTGTCGTTGCTGTCATGTCACATGTCATACAATCTCGGTTACCACTCTCGGTGTTAGAAGTTTCGGTTGTCTGTGGCGGTTTTGGGTGAATATTGAGAGCGAGAAGAGGGCAAAGGGCCGTGACTGTCATTTCTTGCTGGGATGATGGTGGTAGCGCAGTTGTCAAGGAAAAATAATAGGGTTCCTAGCGGACACTCACCACGTCATAGGCGACGTTGTTGTCATTCATGGCGACAATCTGATTGGCAGTGCACTAGGATGGCGATGGGGTCGGTCGTTTTTGGCACTTTTCTGTTCGTTTCTTTTGTTTTGTTTCGGTTTTTACGTTTTGCCAAAGCAGGACCCAGAACCAATTTGGAGCGCACCAAGCCCATGCAAAGGCTGACTGATGCTCTCGTTCTTGTTGTTGCCTCCGTATTCAACAAATACGATCTTCGCTGTCGCGGGCATGGGTGGATGTGTAGGGTAGGACCGGGGATGTTTGGATTGGCGTTATGAAGTTCGTTTGTGATGAGTGTGCATGGACCGTTGGAGAGCGCAACCGGCGCAGCAGGAGCTCAACAGGTGGTTGCTCTTTTCAGTACCATATCATTGTTAATGGCGTTATCATCTCAGGGGTGGGAAGCATGTAGCAGCTCATGTATAGAAGTTATTGTTTTTGTGGTGGGCTGTTGTAGTTTTTTTCAGTCTGTCGCTGTGTTTGGTTTTCGCATGCATCGACTGCTATACTGCTGTACTTTTCGTGAATGGAAGAACGAGAGTTCGCACTTCATTACAAGTATCAATAATCCATTTTTTGTCATGTGGCGCTGCATCTGCTTTATCTACGTCTGTTTTTGGGGTTCTTGTGGGTGGCTCCTGCGGAGTGATGGTTTCCCACGGATATGGACACCTGACGGCGCGATAATTTTCCCCGAGCTTTCCTCGTTAACGAAAGTAGTGGCACCTCCTTCTGGCCTCCCGGGTGAAGCCTGGCTGTCCCTTTACCTTGTGCCCGCTGGTGTAGTACCCTTTTTCTCCGATTATTTTTTTGCAAGCACGGAGAGAATCAAGAGAATCAAGCAGGGACGGAACGTAACGCCGGCTAGCATACCACCTAGACTGTAGTTACACTTCCCTCTCGAGTATCTGGTCCGCGTGTTGGTGCTGTCGTTTTGTTGTTGTCTTCACAATAAAAACCGTTCCGGTCTCCGCTCAGTACCTTCTAATAATGTCGGTACTAACTATACTATACTTAATAGTCCAACTGACGCGGACGCCTTCCGTGGTCACAAGCCAACAACCCCACCAAAGGGGTACGCATGGACAAAAACACTGTTGTACGTACGTAATGGAATGACAGGCTGGGAGCAGTAGGAGGTCAGGAGAACACCTGCTCTACACGTGGTACTTGATTGACGATGCACACTCGCTACATACGTATGCATACCGGTATTAAAACACCCCGACCCCCCCCTCATCTCGGTTGTGTAGTAGTTGGTAGTATCTCCCCGTTGCCCTTCTGGAGTTCCCACGAGGACAAGAAGACTAACGGACGTTCAACTTTGTATCCTGGCATAGCACGCCGCCTTCGTATAAAACGGTAATAACCATGTAAGTCGCGAACGGGGCCGGGTTCGGTCTGTTCCCTCATGGATGGAAATTAGATGGAAGCAATATAATCTTCTAGAAGAAAATGTATGTCCCGCTCTGCTGCAAATGTTCCGACTCGCTCCCGACAGCAGTGCCACACGCCACACGCCACACACCCCTCTCGCACTCCATTCACAACTGCTCCTTCTACTTGTGAGTACGACAAAATACTTTCGTGGGCGAGGTCCTGCATAGCTATATCGTAGGGCTTATGTCGGCTGTCTCCGCTGTTCACGGCGGCTTACGTCCGTTGTTCATGGCGGACCCAATGTTCAAATTGTTCATTCATTCATTCGCCATGGCAGCGGCGTTCGTCCTGTAGGGAGCAGGTATCTCTCGTTCTTTGTATCTAAGCTGTGTTCTGTTCCTCTGCGATTGTAGGATCATGAAGGACGCTATTGTTCGTGTGCATTGCACTTCTTCCGTTTGGGATCGGTCTTGAACCAAGTCTCGGCGGGCACTAACGAACTGCTGTCTGTAGACTATACAGATAGACTACGAGGGACACGATGACATGTTATTTCCGTGCATCGCGTATTTATTACTCTGCTGATCAGATACCAGCAACGATGAGCGCCGACGAGAAGTGCAAGATTTACGTCCTAACCTACAGGTAGGTTAATAACAGCGTCTCAACGAGGCCGTGGACTGCTGAGAGAGAGAGCGTTCGTTCGTGGTTTTGCGTGGTGTTGTTGTTGTTGAGCGCCGTACGTCGTATGGACACCCAAGTAACAGGTAGGCTGCTTGCTGTAGATCCGTCGTTCAAAGTCCTCGGACACTTGGACACGTGCAGGGTCCTCTTGTGCCGCTGTCCTCCACTCGCTCGCGTAGAATCGTTACTGCTGCTCTGCTGTTGCTACTGCTGTATCTATGTTGGTGTGTTTCGATCCAGCGGTCCGGGGTCTTACAGAGAGAGGACGCCTCCCCTGAGGTCCCCCTCTACGGTACATTCTTTTCTATAAATAGACTAAAATTAATCCCTAAAAAAAAATAATGCCTGACGAGTCTACAGCAGCAGAAGTAGAGGGCCACCACAAATCGCCGCCTCTTCTTCCTTGATCCTCCCTCCTTGCCACGTGCACTCTCTTATTACAGTAGCGCAGTAGAGGGACACTTACGTGTACATACCTTTTCGACTATCACAGTTAGAAGCACTTTGTTGGCTTCAACTCGATGTGCGGTGTATGCGGTCGATATGTACGTAAAATATATGTAAGGACGGCTAAACATAAACATACCAGGTACCATACTACACCAGCAGTTCAGTGTAGATAGTCAGTGAAAGCAGCAGCTCCTTTTGCAGTGATGAAGGAAGAAGAGGTGGAGGTTATCACATTTTTTACCCGAGAGCAACTTCGAGCGAGTACGATGTATCTTTTTTATGCTCTACTGTATGTACTTGTTGTCTGATCCCTTCCTCTTTGTCTGTCGGTCTGTCTGTCGGTCTGTCGGTCCTTTGTGTGTGTGTCTCTATGTGTGTGTCCCTCTCTCTCTCCACCTCTCTCTCTCTCTCCTCTCCGCCGTACACGTTTCGATCCCAACATCGAACAACGAACAAAAATAATGTTGCACGTTGTTGCACGGCAACCAAAATACTTCCATGCATATGCTGCTGCTGGTGTAGCCTGTACGGACATGTCAACACCTTGGCTGCCGAGATCAAGACCGGCATCGAGGAGGCTGGGTGCGAGGCTGTCATGGTCCGCTGCCCTGAGACTCTGCCCGCGGACATCCTCGAGAAAATGTAAGATGGTGATGACCATCATCGTTTTCTATCTACTGTTTTTGGTTTTGGTTGGTTGTTCATCTCGAAATTTAGTAACCCTTTCCGCACAGACAGATTGAATTGCTTAGTTTACGCCCCCCCCCCCCCTGTCCTTCCAACCATTCATTTCGTTATGTATGTGCCCTCCCCACGGACGGGACCCCCGTGCGTGGCGGTTTTGTTGCCAGAGCGGGCGGCGTTTGACCCGAAACTCAAACAATGTTGACGTGTGCGCTGCTTACTTCTTCCTGACCAGGCACGCACCTCCTAAGGACGAGTCCATCCCTGAAGTGGACGTGAAGGACCTCGTCAACGCCGATGGCATTCTCTTCGGTGAGAGAGACAAGAAGAACAGCAACCAGCCGCAAGCTTGTACTGCAGAGTCAACCAAAAATCAATCACAATTCTCACAGCTAGGGCGTCGTAGAATAGTGTAGTCTACAGCTTGGTTATTCCCAAAGGATGGATGCGCCCGCCCGTGAGATACTTAAAAATATAGTAGTCGCTCGTAGGTGTTACACTTTCCGATTTAACATTTTTTGCGTTGAACCTATAGACTACGTGTGCGTGTGCCACCACACGCGAGCGAGTGGTTTGGTGCTGCAACATATGGCACGGCACACCGCGGCGACGGCATTTCGACAGAGGGGTGGTTTCGAAGCCTCCCCTGCCCTCTGCCCCCCGGCATTACTTCGAGTGGCTAGGAGTAAGAGTACATCCATCCATCTATCCATGTATATGAACGATGAATAGCAAACAAAGCAATCGCGCCCTCCCCCCGGCGCCCTCCCCCGCCTCTGCCATCGAAGGCTTTCCGACGCGGTTCGGCACCCTCCCCACCCAGATGAAGTCCGTTCTTGACGCCACAGGGGGCCTGTGGCAGAGCGGAGGGCTCGTCGGCAAGCCGGCCGGCGTGTTCATCTCAACGGCGACTCAGGGGGGCGGCCAGGAAACCTCGGCGCTCACCTTCCTGACGCAGCTGGCGCACCATGGCATGATGTTCGTGCCCATCGGGTACTCGAGCCCCCTCCTGTTCAACAACGACGAGGTCCACGGCGGAAGCCCGTACGGCGCGGGCACCCTCGCCGGGGGCGACGGGTCTCGCATGCCCAGCGACCTCGAAAAGGGTGCGTTCGTTTCATTCATGAAAAAGAGTAGAAGGTGGAATTTTTCATCGTCATGCGCTTCATCATGTGTTTCATGCGTATCATGCGTTTCATTCATTCATGCGTTTCATCGAGGCGAGACGAGGCGACCGTGAGGTGCAAGTTGCATCCGTTCGTTCATGACAACGCTCACGGAATGTAAATACACTAGGGTGACTCTCGAAACGCTCCTCCATCTAGCTGATCACGGAGAGGTACGTGTGCTATGTACGCCCCCCTCTCCTCCCCCCGTCATCTGTGTGTATTCTGCCCTTCGCGCCACCCCCTTCCTTGCCTTGTGTCTCCTTGGCGAGTTCCTTCCGTCTTCCTTTCCCACCGGTGACGACGCCTCATTCGTTCGTTCATTCGATGCCCGTCCGTGCTCATTTCCTCGACAGGTGTCGCCAAGCACCAGGGTTCCTTCTTCGCAGGCACCTGCAAGGCCCTCAAGGCCGGTCGCGCCGCCTCCGCTTGATTGGTTGATTTTGATTGGTTCATGAATCGGTTGGTTGGTTGATGGTTGCGGGTAAGGGCGGCGGAATTCCTACATGGTAGCACAGCACTCGCTCCTCCGATTGAATGCAAGCGTGGGGCGTGGGGGCGTGTGGAATGTCGAGGGTGTTTTTTTTTGCATGCCGTGTGTCAGTTGCCACATCTTGTTGATGCGTGACTCGGTGATTGAGTCAAGAATCGTTCATTCTTATCTTGTAGCCTTCCTTCTCTATGACTGCGGCTTTGCTACGCATCATCGTCGTGCGTGATGCATTGAGTCCCCTTTCCCGAAGTCGAAACTGAGTCGGTTCACAGATAGATGTTGTCATAGGACAGACAGACGTCGTTATTGTTCCACACACAGTGAAATCGTACTCCACCTCCCGATGTCCCCCGCTGTTTTATTTATTGTCCTCATGGGGACTCTTACAAAAGACGAGCACGTGCAAGCTAAAGAACGGACGGTCTTGTACCATGCGGAAGTCCAGGGTCCCGGCAAGCGGGCCGAAAAACGCCCAAACCAACTTGCCCGGCGCCGAAGGCGTTCCTTCTCGCCACAGCGAAGAGTCATTATATTATCCAACTTGACTTCTTCGTTGTTCTTGCGATGATCCGCGCCGTGTATTCTTTCACCATTAAGTTCAAGTTACCCCAGAAGAAGAGAAGGAAGACAGTCAGTCAGTCCCTTTCTCAAATACCGTCGACTCAGTCAAACGAACAGTACTACAGCTACTGAACGAATGTATCGCTGCAGCAACACAAAGAAGGGCCAAAAACGAAGCATATTCTCGTTGCGCGCGCTGTCTACAATGTAGATGACGGGAAAAGACCAAAGCTTGTCGCGCATGCGCGAGACCGTACATCCAACCCGTATCAGAGTCTCTATCCGTTCCTCTTCCCACCCACCCACCCCCCTATGCGGGCAGCTATTAGTAGCAAGCAAAGTCTGGCACACGATCATTATTATGTTTGTTTACCATACGCGGAACCTCTTGTTCGTTGCCATGGTTCCTTGCATCGCGCTCTGCCCAACCAAATCGCCCTCTTACAAGGAACACACTCCTCTCTTTTATTTTGCAGGATGCGGTGACGACAGAGTGTGTCCCCCCCAACCCGCCCCCCAGTGTTGCTTACTGCGCACGACACAAAACACCTTTTCATCAAGTGCGCACCCATGAACGAACGAAAGAAAGGCCTACTATGCAGCGCAAACAACGACGACCCGTATCCTACCCCTTACATTAACTAGTCTTACCGCGTGTACACGTTCCCGCCCGCACGAAACCCTTGACCATCCTCATCCTTCTCAATCCCCGGCCGAAAGGCGGCAGCAACGACACCCACCCCCCAGAAAAAACACACCAGGCACCGGCACGTTAAATTTCGTCGACATAACGCCACCGGCAAACGAATCGACAGACAGGCAGACAGACAGACCTTCCAAGTCGACTCAAGAAGCCTCCAAACTACGGGTTACTCCTGTCTACCTTCTTGCGTCGTCGATCCCATCCCATTCCATCCCATCCCACCCCACCCCCCTAAAAAAAAGACATCAAAAAGGTACACCCATCGGAATCTACGGTACCCCCCCCCCCCCTGCCGCGCCTTCTTCAGGTACACGACTATAAAAGGACACGCGCTTGAGTGTTGACCAACTACACACAAAATATCCAACACTGAAAACAGAAAAAACAATGGGACTTGGTATACACCCCGAAAAACATTCTCTGTATATTTATCCACCTTTCATATAATCGGCTTTTCTGCGCTCGGAAGAACGAAGATCTAGATACTACCTATGCAACGTCGGCCACACCGCACACTAAACTAACAAAAACAAGCCTAAATATCTCACAACCGCTTATTTTACATGGGGTCTTCTGACCGGCCGCCTGTTGCACACACACCAGGTAATTCTAATCCTTGATACACAAAAAAACAAGACAAAGAAAAGATGACAAAATCAAATCACATCACCCACGACACCAACAGCAAGTAAGCTAATAAAGAGCACAACCAGCGGGGTGAGCGGCAGACAGATATATACGTTCTGCAAAAAATATGAAAAGAAAAACCAACAATAACGCCACCCACAGAGTCATATGTATATTGTACTTACTCTTTTAAGAAGTGTGTGAAGGCCAGGCCAGATTTAGTTTCCAAGTACGAAACGAAGGTGCCTATTGATCTTAAACGCTTCACCCGTTTCTACTTTCGTATTTTTCTGAACCACCGGCAAAAATCGACGTGAAAATGACCACACCTCCCGCTGCGCGGTGCACCCTGTACCCGTGCACTATGATCCATCACTCCATCCCAACCCAAACAACCCGACACTCGATGCTGCTTATTGTTCGCCTTGCAGGTCAAAACACACAGAGGAGAGCCCAAGCGTCCCGAGGGTCCCCGCGATGCGCCCCACGCAAGCAGCAGTCATGAGCGGAAGAACCGACCACCACACGTGAACCCTCCACAATAGGCCCGAACGACAGGACAAGAAGGTCGCGGCATTCCCTCACGTCGCCTAACCCACAAGAGAGAGATAGATAGAGAGAGCAAAAGCAAAACTCTCAGCACCGTCATACCTCCACCCACCCCCTGTATGACCCCCTAGACTACCCCAAATAGCACCCCCAACACCTGGCCCCCATTCCACCACAATCGCGACCATCCGTGACGCTTACGCGACGCCTCAACACACAAGTGC